GGGTCCTCTTTCTTGGCATCTTAACCCCCAAACCTTAAAGCCAAAATATGATCTCTATGATCCATCACTGCCATCACACGACATCTCTTTGCAAACAAATCTCCTATGCCAAGCTCTAACATACAAAACACCTGGTATAACTTGAATCTTCCGTAACAACCCAACAAACGAAAGAACCCCTAAACCCCAATCCTGGGTTAACGTTCAACAATTACGAGCTGGCTGACATTCTCGCCTCCCCAGCACCCAAAAAAACATGCCAACAGCCCAACACTGGGTACTCACTTCCACCTGCCAAGAGAAGGAACCCAAGCGAAAGAACGCACTACTTCCGGGTAGTGCAAAGACCGCGCAGTCCTTTCAGAATTAGGGACCTATACTGTAAATCCCCTAGACCTACTTTGAACATTGCAACTTTGCTGAGTCCTAGGCTTATACTACAACCAAACATTCTGAGGAAACAGGAACAAAAAGGGCTCCATCAGCTTTGCTAGGGGAAGGGTCCTCTGTTTGGGCTTCTTCCCAGGTTGTTAGAGTCTCAGCGATACCCTAAACCCTAATGCATCCTCGGGGGAATTTAGAGGTTGAGGGTTACGGTTCGGAGGATCTGGTTAAAAGCCGATTAGGGTGTAGTAAAGCATCCCTCCCATACACCTTCTGTAACTTCATAATACTACGCACTTAGACACATTGGTTGGGTTGTACCAGAAATGCTATGGATGCATATATTGGACGGCATAGTGGTATCCGCTTAATTGGTATTCACTCCAACCCAAACCCCAAACCAAACTGCAGCCAAGACGCCTGGCAGCAATCCCGAGCGACATGTTCAGGTGTGAAAGCCTCCATGGTGGTTCTGGGAATCAATGGGGCTGGAGACCAATGGGGATTCTCAACATGGCGTGCCCTGAGTTTAGGGTTTAGGGATTAGGGTTTAGGATATGAGAATGAGAATTACCACGCACGGGGGGGTTGGTTTTTGTGGCTCCCTACTAAAGATCTCCAGAAGCCGAACAACTCCCAGTCCTCAGGATGTTACAGAGAAGCTGCATGCGAGGGTTTCCTAGCACCACCTATGCTAACACTGTCAGCCAACTCTTTCCCATCCAACTCAGCTTTCGTTATTTACGGTTTAGGGTTTAGGCTTTCGTTGACTGTTGTAGGTATAAGGCTCTGGGGTCATGTGGACCGAAGTCAGAAGAGGTGAAAAGAAAGTTAAATGATTTGTTCAGTGATCTTTGGGGTATGGCATACTCATCATAAAAGTTTTTTCTAGGGGCACAATCTTTGGTCATTATTCAAGCTTCTACAGCAGAGGCTTCGCACCTTCCACACTTCCCTAAACCCTAAACCGTATAAACTCTAAACTCATATGAGCTATAGTCTAAACTCCTAGTATCCCCCTTAATACCCTCTATAGTAGTCCCTTATACAATCCCCTATATAACCCCCTTTAAGGAGTCTAGACTATGGCTCATATAGATTTTTGCGTTGCCCAGGGTTCCGTCGCACAAGGAAAGAATGAGATCTGTCTCGTGACTTCAGCAGAGGTACGCCAGGCATCTCCAGGTTTGGGTTTAGGGAAGTCTTCGGCTTTCTGGGTTGCTGTTAAGGAACTTAAATTAAGTTACTATATTGGGGAAACCATATTATTTACTATATATATATACCCATTATGGTAACTTAATTTAAGTTCCTTGACAGAAGCCCAGTTTTTGGCTGGTTGTTGGGGACTTCAAGCTCCTCTTGCTGTTCTATGTTTCGCATCGGGATACCACCAGCTAAGGGCCCGGTTGCCGCAGCAGTCTGAGGTATACTGGGTTGCTGTTAAGGAACTTACATTAGGTTACTATTAGTTACTATAATCAGGAAACCCCATCATATACTATATACTCAGAATCTTAGCCCGCATTACCTTAGAAAGAGAAAAAGCTCCTTTTTACACAAATATAAGGAATCCCATACCCCAAGAGGTACAAGGGATCCCTAGCATCGATCCAGTAATATGGTAGCTTAAACTAAGTTGCATAACAGCAACCCAGTGTAGTCCCCCTTAAGTACATAGAACATGGCTGTAGGTATATTATAATAAGAATTAGGGACTATAGACCCTAAACCCTAAATAGTAGTTTCATTTTGTCCTCCATTATCCCAATTTAACCCACATGTTCTATACAATTAAGGGGGACTATGAACCCTAAACCCTAAATAGTATAAACCCCAAACCCTAAACCCCATATACCCATGTGCTATCTACTTAAGGGGGACTATATGGTAGTTTCCCTAAATAAGGGGACCCCAATCTAGATCCCAATATACTATAATCCTTACTATGGGGACCCCTAAAATGGTACCCCTAATTTTGGGAAACCCCCATATAGGCATCCCCTAAACCTCAAGCCGCCGGCCTTGCTTCTTGGATCCATATGGGATCAGTCTCTATTCTGAAGCCATATTGGGTTGAGGGTTAAGGTTGAGGGTTTGTGGTTTTTTTGGGTTTGGGGTTTTGGGTTTGGGGTTTGGTGGGTTTGGGGTTTTGTGGGTTTTGTGGGTTGTGGGTTTGGGGGTTTGTGGGTTTGGGTGTGTGTGGGTTTTGGGTCTGGGGTTTTGGGGTTTTGGGTTTGGGGTTTGGTGGGTTTTTGGTTTGGAAGTTTGTGGGTTTAGGGTTTTGCGGCTGAGGGCTAAGGGTTTGGCGTTCAGAGTTTTCAGGTTTGGGAGTTTCTCGCGAAGGGTGGGCTGGTAGGCGTGTGACGCTATACTTCTAGAGGCAATGTCGTGAAACTCCAATTTAGGGGTACAAGGCTTCATGCGTGGTTCGAAGAAGTCTTGATAGTGCCTTCTTAGCCTTGCTGGGAATAAGATTTCAGATATTATGCTGGCAGCATGTTGGGTTGTACGCATACCAGGATTTCCCGGAATGCTTCTCACGATTAATCAAGCTTCTATGCAAAGGCTCTTTCCAGGTGTCATGCTCTGGAGGTTATGTGGCGCGAGGATTGGTTCATGGGGTGCAGGAGTTTGGTTTGAATGCTGGTAGGCTGGCATCCGTGTCATGGCGTTGCCAAAAGCTTCAAATTTGTGTTGGAAAAGCAGTAAACTCAAACGTACGCTAAATGCTAATTCTTGCAGTTCTTTGATGGCTTTGCAACTAGGTCTTGGGCCACTGTATGGCTCACCACAGCAGCATTGTCCGTGGCAATGTGGCAAGACATGGACCCCTGTCTTGCATCTGCCCGTCCAAAATGAATTGCACAAGGTGCGGCTGCCTTCATGGCTGTGAGTGAGTGAGTAGTCCCTCTTCTACACAAGGAATTCCGGGGCACAAGAGCTTGGCAACTTGTAGGCGTGCAGAAGAAAGTACTAAACAACTTAAGGCTTTGCAGTTCATAATTCAGGAAGCCCGCTGCTCTCTACCTGGAAGTGATGATTGGCCGAAACTGCGTCATAAGTCCACCAACTCACACCTACCCATCGGGGCCAGACAGTCCATAAAATGAATTATCTTGGAATAACCTTAGGCCCTTACCTTGCGACGTAGGCTTGCTCAAAACTATCTTCTGGGGGCCCCTGTGCTCTAATGAGCGCCAACTTCTTTGGGGCATGCGGACGTAGCCCTAGGAAGAAAAAAGGCCCCTTTTACATAAATACAGGGAATCCCATGTCCCAAAGAATATAAAGGATCCCAAACATCGATCCAGCAGAAGGGAATCCTAATTTCTGAGAAACACACAAGTTGGATGATGGAATTTCAGTTTCTCTTGTGGCGTGGGTGGTGAGCCATGAATGTGATGGTTGGCATTGTTGCTCAGAAAACGATGACAGTTGCAAGAATGGCGCCTCTGAGGCTTCAAAAACGCGGACGCCCAGCATCCTTATGAACCTATGAATGTTGGCAAGGTTAAGAGGGCTGGGGGGTACTTGCGAACAGCACGCGCGGGCATTACAGAAGAAGTCAAGGCTCAGGTGAGGGAAGGTTCAAAACCCAACAAACTCGGCAAAGCTAGTCAACAAATCGATAACCCTACACCCAGCTCTACCTAAACTTGAAACCCTCGCTCGACATCCTTAGCCAGCCGATCCATGATAGATTCACGATGACATCTGGGATCTCATTTCGGGATCGTTATAATCAGGTCTATTTGGCATTTACCCGTGCCTACATGAGCAGCTATCTTGGGAGAACCAGACAAGAGCTGCATCGCCAGGTCAAGACATGCTTACTTGCAAATTCAAAAGGAAACTGGCGGTCTTTTGCGGGGCCGGAACACGACTGCAAATATGACTTCCAAATCCTAACAATAGATGGCTTTCGGATGCAGGTGAAAACAGAGACGATGAAGCCCATTGAATGATTTACAAAGTGTAAATTCACCGCATGTGTAGTGTAAACCTTGGTTGCAATTACACCCTCCTGGTTACAACTTCCACCTTCTGGAGCCTTGCCAGTTGTAAATTGGACAACGTGATGATATTTTTTGCGGGTTACGCAGAATTAAGGCCTGGCACCACTCAACCCTAAACCCTAAACCCTCAACCCTAAACCCCATCACTTTGTAGCTCTGGAGTCCCTGAGATCCTCTGTGCCATTTCTGCCATGGGCCTCGATGCATCCATGGCATACACCTTCATTGTGCTTGAGTACTGTTGATGGACAAAAAAACTGCGCTGCGTGACCTTCCATACCTCAGCCCAAAGAAAAGGCTAGCGTACTCACTACTTATGTTCGTGCAGGATTTTGCCAATCAGTAGTACGGCACGGCCGACAGCAGTCTGGGCCAGTGCTCACAAAGCAGCCCCTCGATGTCCAGCTGCGACACGCCGAGTATTGCTTTCGCTCGAGACTCTATGCCTGACGTGGAGTTGACTGCGCAGAGAGGGCCTGCCATGGCAGAGCGTCTTCCCCAAGGTTTGGGGAGAAGTCTGCACCCTCCTTTTGAGCTTGATGCCCGCAGCGCATGTTGCTGCGTGCAGGGGCTGAAGTTTTCACTCCCAATGCAAGATCAGCCAGGGTCGGACGCTGCATCCAGGTCTACGGAGTAGTTCTCACGCTCTCTTGCCAGGGCATCTGCATGGACCTCCCGCTCTTTGGGCCCAGCGTCGCATGTCGGCGGAGGCTCCAGGTCGAATGCACCGTGAGCCGGGTCATAGGACCCACAGGCTAACCTGAGCTCTCATCCATGAACAAAAACAAGTCAAAAAAACATGTTTGAATTCGCTTCTTGCTGCTTAATATAGTGAAAACTGAAAATTACCAAACATATTCAACCAGGACCCAGCAAAAACTGAGCCAAGAACTTGCACAGCACTTAATGATGAGCAAAGAACAAGGCCTGGTTTTGATCCCAATCCTCTTCTTCTACAAAACTGTTGAGGGAGGAAATCTGCACCGCCCAAGGTCCCTGAAGTGCTGCAATCCCCTGGGCTTCAAGGACTGCAGCTGGTGGCCATGAATGGTATGACCCTTATCAGGACCCTACCCCGAAATTTCCCAGGTCAGAGAGGTCTGGTGTTGCTTGTTCTTGGTGTCACTTCTACTGATTCTATTGTCACACGCATGTTTGGTTTACAGTAACAGAACCATGCTTTTTGGCAACGGTCTTGATTTTCATGATGGAGCTGATTCCTACCAGTATTTCTCTTTGGCTACCAGCATTCCTCCCCTTGGCACGGTTATGGCACTCAACAGTCTTTTCACAAGCCTTCATGTTCTGAACGTCTGACCAGGCACGACACATGACCATTCTTGTAATTCCTATTTTACGGCTCAGCATCCCGTGTGCCTGTTTTGGGCTAGATTGCCTACTGCAACCACCAGTCTTGCTATTGCCGCCCTTGTCGCTGTTGTGGCATGCTGCCACATCTTCTGTTAAATCATTTCTGTTATGATTGCCTGACCGGCTAAAACCAAGGGGCATCGCACTCTCTCTGCATGGAAGCTTCCGGTTCCTCCCCACGTCCGCGCGCACGTAGCGGATGGCCAGGCCGACGCGCCTTGCTTCGGGTGGGCTTACATGACGTGTTTCTGACGAGTGAGCTTTAGGACCTAGGGTTCGCGATTGCGAGGCGTTCGATCGGTTTATGTCTTGGGGCTGCTTAGCTTCTGTTCGACAGCCCTATACTCTGACTCTCCCCAAGATGAAGCTGATAACCCTCATCCAAACCTTTCTTGGGCCATTGTTTCTAGCATTGATGGAGCAAGGCTATGACGAGGATGATGCTCCTCAGCTAAACCTCTCTTAGGCTATCGCTTCTTGTGGTGAAGTCGCAAGACTACGGAAGGGGAGTGCTGGACCACACTGCTGACCGACTTACGCAAACCAGATCCCTGCAAGGGATTTTTTTGTCTGTCACGCCGGCCTTTCGTTGGTCAGGTTGGGACCAGACCAGTGCAAAGTGCGGAAGGTGTGCAAACCTCAGAGCGCATGCATGAACAGAGTTTTTGGTGGTTGAACCGTTGAGCCAGATCAAGCGATACTGCAACCGAAAGGAGAAGATGATCTTACTATACTGGGGACTGTAGTGCCCGAGTAACAGCACTACGCACATGAATTTGAATCTGCAGCTAGACTTGGGATATGATGTCGGCGGCTTGCCATGGCCCACGTCTTTGGGCTTTTCGGCTTGGTTCGGCCAGCACAGTGCCCTTTTCTAGTGGGCATTCAGACGCCCTGGCGAATTCGGTACGCACTCGAACTGGGGTGCATCTCAACGCACGGCTCGCACGGACTGAACATGAGACTCACATGGGTCGAGTTGAGTCCTTCCGAGCAACTCCCGCTGCACTGGCAAAGGTGCTGAGAACATTAGAGAGGCAGAGTATCTTTGAGTGTCTGCCCAAGTAGGGTAGGATCAGAGCCCATCCCCACTTCGACACTAATAAATGCCATTTGAAGGGGGCAGTTCTAGTTTAGGGGACTTTCAATGGACTTTCATAGTGAACCAAGCCCAGAATTCTGCACCCCAAAGTCTTTGGACGCAGGGAGGTTCAGGCTTACATGGTGTTCTTTCGTGGGTGCCTCATCGAAGCTGCGGCACATAGACCTCAAACCCAGCACACTGAGACACGAAGCTACAGGCCCTGGACCCTCAGCGCCAAAATTTCTGGTATAAACTGAACTCATGACTCAGGAAGACCAGGAACTGGCTTCCCCCGCACCCAGCTCGACTGGCACTGCATCCTCGTCGTCCTGCGGTATGGTCTGGGGTGCAAGGCCTAAAAACCTGAAGCCTCCCATCTATTCAGGCACTGTATCGGCAACTTGCTTATTCCATCTTATTCCTGCAAGCAGGGGATGCTGCTACACAGCTTTGCCTACCCCAACTCCACAACGCTTGCCCAATCAGTAAACCAAGCAAAAGACTGAGCATGGGGCTTTCCACACGGACTTGTATCCGTGCCAGGAAAAAACATAGATTACCACAGCTGTGTCAGGACGGCTACAAGCCACCCTTGTAATGGGGATCTCGAGAAAAAACGAGTGGTCATACAACTCTGAGCTACAGCCCATTCACTAACTGGCTCTTAAGCCCCCGATCCGGATCTGGAGGAAAGGATATGCGACCTAAACCGAGCCCTGAACATCAAAACCCAAGACCTAAACACTTCTTCATGTCCTCTTGCACGCAGTACTCTCTGAACGCAAGCGCTGGACCCTTCTTCATGTCTCGTCGCATACCCACCCTGTCTCCCAACAAGCCTCCCTGTCTTGCCCCTTGTAAGGGGCGGCGGAGCCTTTCCTACTGCTGATACAAAAGCCCTGCATGACCGTAGTAGACTATTGCACCACAGTTTCCAAGGTTTACATGCTGGACTTGTAGTATCAAGCATAACCTGTCTACGGATCAACCTGCATGGCAAACGCGGCTGCTATTGCATGACACAACAACCTTGCCAAATCTGTTCACAACCGCGACAGCCCTGTCCCAAAACTGCTCTATCCCAAAGGCAGACAGTTGGAGTAGCACATGCAATTCAATCAAAAAATCGTGTAGATCCTAAAGCCCTGAACGCTCAACCTTGAACTCCATGCCCCTAACCGACTTAGGTCAATCCCGCCTACAGCAATAGCCCCGAAGTAGTGGAGTTAATAAGTTAATATACCTACAATAGTCCCTTGTGGAACCCATTACCGGGTGGGATATTGACCCAACACCCTACCCTCCGGTCCTGAGCTGCAGCCAGAAATTCCGAGTCGCAGCAGTGGAAGCCGATTAAGTTCTCAACCTCAGGTTGTCAATTACCATGTTCATCAGAGAGGATTTGAGTTTTGGATGGCACCAACCTTCTTTCTCAGTGCTTCCCTACCTTGGAACCCACCTAGAACATGCGAGCCATTGTCTAGACTCCTAGCATCCCCCTTGATAACCCCTATAATACTCGGCTATATAATCCCTTACATAACCTTGTTGGAGGAATTTAGACTATAGTACATGTGAGTCGATAGGCTTAAGATTTACACGGTGTCTGTGAAGGTCTTACGGCAAACTGTTTGCAACAATGTGCTGTGATTCGGAGAGGATTAATTCGAAGTCAGGTGTGTACCTGAATTACGATTTGGGGCGAGGGTCCCCATGAGAAAATTACATGACACTGCCCAACAAACATTTGTTACGCATCACAGCGATGTTCTTCAGAACGTATTACTTCAAAGTCGCGTCAACAGTTGGCAAAATTCGCCATAGCCTAAACTGAGAAGTACTCTTGGGTGGTTGAACCAAGTAAGATATTCTTCTCTTATAGAAAAACACGACGCAAAACAAGAGATACTCTTACCTCATATTGGGGACTATAGCTCACTAGAGTCTCTACCAGGGACCCAGGACCCCCCCTTGTAACTTCCCATATCCCCAGGTTTTCTCTACAGGCGCCCTGCCTGCAGACACTGGCGCGCTGACAAGGACCTTTAACTGAGTTATCCTTAGACAGTTGTATAATGGGGTATATATTGGGGTTATATGGGGATAATGGAAAATGAAATGATATAAAATGGAAACTACGATTTATGGCTTAAGGCGTGCAATCTACCCTAGGCTCGTATTATGGTAGCTTAATCACATTCCTTAACAGCCAACCAGTCAAGCTGGCACAATCTTGGGGAACCCACTTTAAATCCCAAAGCCTAGCAAGTTTGACCGCCTCCCATGTGCCTTGTCGTCCACGCAGTGTGGCAGTTGGCCATGCAGGTGGGAATGACGCCTGGCTTCAGGCTAGGAAAGAAAACCAGTTTAAGGCGTACGGGTTTCGAGTTTCCGGATTGAGGGTTGACGAGTTCAGGGTTTGAGGTTCAAGGGCTCAGTGTTTAGGAGTTTAGGGTCTGAATTTTTCAGACATTGAGGGAAATTTGGGGGGTGCCTCATCTGACAAGGAATATAGCAAGTATTCAAAGGAGAGCCCAACGCATGGCCTTTTTGGGGGTGCATGACATCTAATGCAAGAATCTAAGCACTAAAGATGCTAAGGATGACGGGAAATAGTAGTTCTAGCTAGTCAGAGTTTTTCACAACAATGAATCTCTTAACATCAGACACCCCCAACCATAAATTACAAACCCTGAACCCTACGTCCTTGAACCCCAAGGTACTACACCCAGCCCTGTCACCCGAAAAAGAGGCCGCCCATCTCGGTTGCAGCTTCTGTCAAGGCCTGGGCACGGCAAAAGAGGCAAAAGCATGGCTGTTGGAGGCTCATGTCATAGGAAGTAGGGTATAGGATTTGGGGTCACCGGGCTTAGGGTTTAGGATTCAAGGCCTAGGGCCTAGGGTTTTAGGACTGAACTCGGCAATCTTGGGACCGCGATTTTGGGGATGGTCTAGGATCCTATGATCATGAGAAGGCAATTGTTGGGTTTGTATGTATGATCATTATTCATAGGCTGATAGGTACACCCGGGATCCGAATTTTGTAGCTGTAGCAGCCTCCAACCACGCTACTTTGTTAAGGCTCGCTATCTGAACACATTTTTCGCACATGTCTCAAGGCTCAGGGCTGATAGCACGCTCGTCCAAACATACTTGTCAAAACACCTCGCCAAGTATCAACAGGAATTTGCTGCTACCCCCAGGTCTGTGGAGAAAGCTACAGCCAGCGAGTCCTGTTGGATTTCTAACATTACGGGTTCCTGCTATCATCTGGAAGAAGCTGGCCATCTACTGAAATGGTCCTTCGCAGGCGTCCCCGGCCTCAGGGCCAATAGTCTAAATCTGCAATCTCAGCGGGCATGCGGCACGCATCAGGGTCAAGACTGGAATGATACCTGCAGGTTGTCCCCAATTGCCAAACATTCCAAAAGGTTTGCCTTTGGCGACATCGGACGAAAGGGAAGCATGAGAACTAGAATGGTCTTGTGTGCTTGAGTTCAGGCTATGCTTGCATCATGGGAATCCTAGCATTGCCTATTCTGGGCTCTTTCCTGCAGCAATCCAGAGAAAACTCCGCTTGAGGCGGAAGTATGTCTGAACCCACAAAATCTTGAAGATGGACCTGTCGAATGTCCCTGCGCCCCGCATGTGAAGGCAGCCTCTTAAACGGCCTCGGTCGATGCTGTTAAGCCCTCAACTCCCGTACATGGTCGACACCTACGGCAAACCCATTTTTGGGACTGCCAGTTTGACTAGACTACTACTAGACGAGGGTATCACAACGCAGCCATACCTTCAGTTACAGCTCAGTCACCATACAACCTCAGCTGGGTATCAATCACCAGGGCCCTCCAAGTAATTAGACGAATAACATCACGCACCTCTCAAACTATGAGCAGGACTCTTAGAAACCCGACTCCTCTTTGTGGATCCTACCACGCAGTACAGGAGCCAAATATCCCGGCATAAGCGCACAACTCTCACATGATTTGAACATCTTGCACACAAAACCCTTCTTAACCCTAGACCCTAAGCCCTTCACCCTTGACCCTAAAACCTGAGCCCTTAGTCCTAAACCCTAAGCCCTACTATGATCCCTCAAATCTGCTCCAATTCTTTAGGCCCAACGGCTACCCTGCTCTCAGGATAGAGTCACCCTTAAATGGAAATTACTACAATGGGTTATATAGGGTTTAGAGTTTAGGGTTTAAGTAAATAGTATATGGGGTATATTATTGGGGTTGTATCGGGATAATTAATGGAAAAGGAAACTACTATATTATAATTGGGAATATATTGGGGTTATGTTCCCCCGTGAGTATATAGAATCTGGAGTAAATGGGGATCTTATTATAATATGGGTCTGTTCCATATTCTATCTACTTAAGGGGGACTATGTGTATCCGTTTGCCCACACTGGCCTTGCATCATCCTAGCTCTCCGCGAACCATCCACCCGGCCAACCGAACTTCGAAAATAGTATTAAATTATTCCCCACCCTCGCAGTCGGGTTGTTAGATTGTAAAGTAGATGTTGTCCTCGCCCGACTGGAAGCTGACTGTAGTGACTAACCACCAAGTATCCCTGCAGTGCCCAACCGCAGAGTATCCCTGCAGTGCCCAACCACCAAGTATCCATGCAGTGTCCAACCACCAAGTATCCCTGCAGTGCCCAACCGCAGAGTATCCTTACACTGCCCAACTGCAAAGTATCCCTGCAGGTTCTCAACCACTAAGTACCCTCACAGTGCCCAACTGCAAAGTATCCCTGCAG